AGGAATAGATAGTTAAATGATGCAAGTCCCCATCTTAATTTGTCAAGCTCATCTCAGTATCCCGAGAAGCACAGAGGAAGTTACGGCAGCTTCCAGATACCCCAGAGAGTCACGTGTACGCTCCGAGGGACCTGAGAGATGATAAATCACCTCCGTGGAGTCAGACATTGCTCGCTGGGAGCCAAATTCATTGCCAACTGGTGAGTCCGATGGAGTTTGGAAATGGAGCAAACAGCCAACACTTCACCGCCCCCCGGGTCCCCAGGAAAAGCTTTTAGTTATGAGTGGACGCATTTGTTGAAGTCACACTACACACTAAGTTCGTTTTGTACTTCCAGACTTATTTTACATGAATGTTAGTTCATTAATTATCAGCTATGTCTGGCTCTCTGTCTGTCTGTCTGTCTGTCTGTCTGTCTGTCTACCTCTGTCTCCCTCTCCCCCTCTCCCTCTCCTTCTCACTCCCTCTCTCTTTTCTCTCTCACACATTTTTACATGACTGCATGCTAACCAGATAACCCTTCACAGTTTACTCTCCTTGAATACCCACAAAAGTAAGTTATTATATGGCTGATGGAGGAGATATCTGGCAGTATGTGGGATTTGCTGTCTACAATTCTTTTATAAAGGTGTTTCACCAAGTGCTCTCCATTTAAGTTCTGGAAGCAGTTTTCTTTTCTTTTCTTTTCTTCTTTCTTTTCTTTTCTTGTTTTTCTTTTCTTTCATTCTTTTCTTTCATTTTTTAGAAAAAAGTCCTTGCTTTGGAATCACTGAACATAAAGTAAATATAGATCTCTTAAAAATAAAATGTGGATATTCACTGTATTCTTTGGATTCTGAAATAGAATAGAAATCTGTTAGGATACCATTTTGCAAATATTGTTTCTCAGGAAAAAAAAAAAAAAAGACTGCTTTGCTTTCAGCAGGATTTCTAGTGGGTGTATTTCAGCCCAGGGGTTTCCAATGTTTTTTATGCAAGGTCGTGCTATATTCATGTTTTCGGTGCTTAGAGGGGTCATCTCTGGCTGAAAACAAGATTGGATCTGAACACACGCAGTGCTCTGTGTACTTCCTGAGCATGTTTGACGAGTTCTTTTACAGAAAACAAGTTTAGTGCAGCCCTGGAATAAAGGATGCTAAGCAGGGAAGTGTTTGCAAATCCTGATAAAGTCCAGGTTAGGACATGTGCAATACTAGGCAGTGAATGATTCAGGAAATATTGGACCAAGCGAGCAGCTCATCCGAGCCAAGGGATTCTCAGTGATCATTTTCTTTTACCCCATTTTAAGGACTTTTGCTCTGCAGAGATTTGTTGCTGTATCAGACGCTAAATTGCATAAAATAACAAGTCTCCTTAATTCTCAAGCAGTAAGACCCTTTAAGAATTAGGGTATGAGAGGCATGGTGATGCCCACCTGTCATCCCAGCACTAGGGAGGCTGGGGCAGGAGGATCGCCATGAGTTTGAGGCCAGCCTGGGCTACAAAATGAGTTCAAGGCCAGCCTGCACTACAAAGCAAGACTCTGTCTCAGAAAAGAAAGAGGGTTTGTGCTGCACCTGTGTTTTAGATTCTAAATGGAAAAAATAGTACCTTGGGAACAGAGGAAATAATGAAATGAAACTGACTGGCATTAAATTGTCTAAAAGGATTAAAAGCGGGGCTGGGGATTTAGCTCAGCGGCAAAGTGCCTGCCTGGCAAGCGCAAGGTCGTGAGTTCAGTTCCCGGTAC